CCCCCGTCTTAGTCGCGGCCCCGCGACCCGCGGTTACCGATACCATTGTCGCGATCGTTCTCTATACACACCGTGTTCGCGTATATATGTACCGCTACAGGCTAACGCCCGTCCGCGTTCGCACATTCGTCCCCGAGTGTCGTTTCTCTCTTCGTCTCCGACGAGCGATTTTCTCGCCTTCGTCCCGCGCTTCATCTCACAGTTCCCTCCTTCCTTTCGCGGCTCCTTTAATCGCCTCCGAGAGCCGCGCTCACGATTTCCTGCGCGCTTTCGGTCACTTACTCTCCTACCTTGAGAAACGCCCGCTCGGCGATTCGACGGTGATTCTGCGTCCGCGCGCGCGCGCTGCGAGAGAAAGGAGAGGAGGGCCCCCGAGCTTGAGCGCCTCGAACGAGACGCGTCGCGATGAGACGAGATCGGGATCGGGATCTCTGGGGAGAAAGAGAGGTAAAAGAGCGGGACTCTCACGGTTTGTAAGGAGCAGTGGTTGCCTCATCGTCGAGGTCTTCCTCTTAATCCATAAATCTCTCTGGCGGATCGTAAACGTTCGTGTTATCTTTATATAATTAAAGCTTTATATGCTGAACATTTTCCAATATAAATGCAAATTGCAACTGACTGGATTTTCTCGCGTGAATCTGGAGGCAATTTTTTCGTAGCGAAGAAATGATAGGGAAACGCCGTGACTTAATATAATGTATAAAAAATTAATCAGATCGGCAGTTAAAACACCTTCAGTTAAAACTTTTCAAAGCACCGATTCCGCTTATATTTAAAATTAAAATTTTATTTAGACGATCGCGGTTCGATAATCAAAGCGCATCACTAAAATGATGATTTTTACTCGAGTTCAAACACACACTTGTTATTCATTATTAAGTTATCCTTATACAGGATGTTCCAATTCTCTGCAGTACATCCTCGTATATCATCTCATGCATTGTAGGTATTTATTTTGCTATATGACACATAAATGAAAATGTGTGTCTGTGTATACCTATAGAATCTACAAAATTTATGACATCTATACGATTAGTTAGCACATAAATTGATAAAAAAAATGAGCAATGTACAAAAGCTTCAGTTGAAACTGAGACAAAAGTGCAACTCGCATATAATTGTAGGAAAAAAAGTAGCTAATGCATTAAATCAACTAAAATCATAGGCAGGAGCTCCGAGGGAGCTTAATGAAACAGAAACGTCATGCGTTTGAGCGTCACTGGTGCATAGAGTATCGCGCAGTGCGCTTGTAGTAGGGATGGATACGAGCGGTGGAGGAGAAGCGCGGAGAGAAGGGCAGGGGACACGCGGCGGAGAGGAAAGGGGGGGCTCAAGGCCGGTCGCGCTGTCAGAAGGCCTGCGCGCCGAAATATCAACAAGCCTTTTTCCTATTCGGGAGCAAGCGCGCTCCCGATGATGGGCTGATTGTTGTTAGGATCTGCTCTAATCGCATCTCTCGAAGGGAAATCGCACGCGTTCGGCTGAGAACTTCGACGAAGAATTGCTCGTAAAGTCGTGGCTGCGGTTTAACGCCCGAGAGCCGAACGAGAAACGGAGAAGGGGAGCGTGTAATACGGAGAGGCGACGAAGAAAGAATGAGAGAGAGAGAGAGAGAGAGAGAGAGAGAGAGAGAGAACAAGTAGAAAGAGACGGCGTGCATGCACGCGCGTGCGTTGAGTTTCGGACAGGTGGCACGGACTGTGGTGGCGGCTGACAGCTGACAGTTCGTGAAACCCGTATCGAGAGAACTTATGAAACTAACTGTCGCGAGAGACGCGCAAAACACGCGAGACACACGTTAGACACGAGTTAGGTACGTACGCGTCTCCTCCACGTAACGAAACCCTCGCGCGTGGAAGAGAGTGACGCATGCGGAGAGAAAGGGAGAGGGAGGGAGGGAGAGAGAAAGAGAAAGGAAAGAACGTAAATGTCTCGGAGCAGACGGATGAAAATCGTTGCCAGGTGTTGCGTTTTGATATCGAACTCCACGGAGGCACGGATCTCGAAACTTTGGTTCGCGTTTTGCCCCGACGACGACGTCTACGCGAAAAAGAACGCAAAAGAAGAGAGGGAGGAGGAGCGGGGAGAGAAAGGGGGGGAACAAAAGTACGCGCGAGGAGGGAGGGAAAGGGAAGAGAGCGAGAAGGACGCGGAGAGACGGACAGATGGAGGGAGCGGGAGGGAGGGGAAGGGAGAACAGGAGAAGGCGACCGCGAGAGGGTAGGGGGAGCAGAGGAGAAGCGAGGAGGAGAGTCGAGGGGTCAACGAGAAACATAACCTACGTACTCTCGGACTTGCACGGCGAACGGACTTTTAATGCATGTTACCGCCCGCTCTTTCCGGACACACAGGCCAATCTCTTACCTCGTCCTCGAGCGCGCCGCGGCGCTCTCTCTCTCTCTCTCTGTCTCTCTCCGCTCGGGATCTCTCGACCGATGACGGTGACGGCGAACGTATCGTATCGTACAAGTCCAACTCGTGTGGAGGAAGTAATATAAGGCACTCCTGACAGTCTTTTTTCACGATGACGGTACCGAGGCACCTATTGTATTCGCGCGAGCACAGCGAAGGGCGATCCGCGAGCGAGAACGTATCACGTCGCACTGGTCGCACTATACCGATCACACTCGCGTGTACGAGGGAGAAGGAGACAGTAAGTAAGAGAGGAGGTGAGAAAAGGAACGAGGAGAGCGAGTGAAAGAGACAGAGAGAGAGAGAGAGAGAGAAAGAGTGAGAAAAGGAGACGGCGGCAGAGCACCTCGCGCTGCTGCTCCCGGTGGACGACGCGCCGTGTCGGCCGGGTCTCGGGGTACCGAGAGAGATAATAAACGAGCGGCGGGCGAACGAACCCGGGGCGCGCAACAGCCACACGCACCTTCGCGTCACGTTACAACAGCGGGGCGGCGGGTTACAATGAGCCACGGGCGGTCACGGGTAGCCACAGGCACGGGCCATCTCCGACTCTCCGTCTCCGCTGCTACTCTGACTGGTGGCACCTCCGAACACCACGAGTTCGCGCTCCACTATCTCTCTCTCTCTCTCTCTCTCTCTTCTTCTCTCCCCTCTCCACTCCCTCCTTTCGTCTCGCTCTCACCGAACGAGCCTTTGTGTATATGTGTATCTGTGTGTGGGGCTCTCGTACCTGCTTCTCTATCCTTCTCTCTTTCTTTCTCTGTCTTTCTCCTCGCTCTTTCATGAATACGCTCGCTCTCCTTCTCTCTCTCTCTCTCTCTCTCTCTCTCTTTCTCCACTATACGGTGATCGTACGCCGCGAAGCCGTTGGTACAGTACACCGTCGCCTGATGCCGACACCTCCGCAGATCGAGACGCGAGACGCGTCGCGTCGCGTCGCCTTTGCCGTTCGCCGGCCGACATGGAGGCTGGATGGTTGCGGAGCCCCTGCCCCGGAATGTCGGGTTATGTATCCGCGTAATAGCAGTCGCGCTTAAAAATGGAAAGTTTGCGCGCGATAACGCGTCTCACGTTCTTGATTAACTCCAATATCGTCGTATCGAATCACGATTACGATGAATGATAATAGCTAGATGAAAAATACTGTTATTCTGTTTCGCATCGAACATTCAGCGTTTACGGTATGATACCTCGCTTATTTAATGTACTTTAAACATCTCGGATGTTCGAAGACGGAAGATTCCGTTAATCGCAATTAGTCGACGTCCGTATTTCGATTATCTCGAGTCCGCTGCTTTATCGAGAAACGCTTGAGGTGATAAAAAGTCGATATAGATTATAGATTCGGATTCGCGGCGTGTATCCACTGCCAGCAGATCCTCGTGTCACAGACGAAAATCACATCACGGTTCAACGCTCGACTCTGACCGAGGTCGTCGCAGCAGTTTGCTCTCCTTAGCAGGCTTCTCGATTCGCGTTGATCAACTTTGTCAACGAAGAAACGTTTGCGATGGATAATGATTCATACACACACATTCGAATTCCCGGAACCCCTAAAATCGAATATTAACATCAGAATTAATGCACACTATTTATAAAAGGCTGTTGCTAATTGATCGAACATTCTTTTCATTTAATTTATCCAATTTCATTTAATTTTTATTTATTATATTTATGAGGATATGAAATTTATTTATATCGTAAAAAAATTTTTTTGTTCTATATTTCGAGGATAAAAAAATCAGGCTCAAGTTTCTGTTTCTTGTAAATTTAATTCATTTTAACTTCTTTATAAATTTACGTTATCGTGGAATTCGACAGAAATACAACATGACGATATATATACCTTTTTCCAAGTAAATTACACTATCGTTATCGAGTCTAACAATATAAACGCGCAATTCTGTGAAATTTATTTCAAGAAGCAATGATTCAACAAACTGATATACAATAGATAATAATATCAACATACATTTTTATAAAATATACCTACGATAAAACAATTGGATGGATTTATTGATTTAGAGAAATATTATCTTATATATATATATATATATATATATATGGTTATAGATCGAAGCGCAACACGTATTGTAATAAATACATATCTATAACTTAAGGATTAATGCAATTTTTCGTTTTTAAAATTCTATTTAAATGCAAAAAACGATTTGACTGACAATGAAAAGAAGAGTTTTAAGCTTCGCACCCTCTCCTGTCCGTTTTATCGACCTACCTTTTTCCGTCTGGTTCTCGCTACTCACGTTGCTCGTACTGCCAAAGTACCTCGTGGCGTCAATCTTGCATAGAATTCTCAAATTTACGATCATAGAAAGAAAGGCGCGAGATAAGTATTGAAAAAATACTGTTTTATCACTTTCGGTGGAAATGCAACAGTTACATATATATATTTTATTTCTTATTTAATATTATATACACACGACGCATAAACATCGACACTCATTTGCATGTCTCGGAATGTTATAATTTTCATTCAATGAAAATAAATCCACATACAGATGCGGGGAGGAACGCAGCGTGACGATCCTGATCCTCGGGGATCGATCAACGTATACGATCGCCATTCCGATCGGACATTCCTCGCATACCTCCTCCTCTACGTTCGAAGAAATGTATGATTCATCGAGCTAACGCGCATTTAAAAAAATGCCCTTTCCAATGCGTATTTTAAGTGCGTGTTGAGTTTGATCCACGGTATCGAGAGTCGTACGTCAGAAACATTTTCAACGTTGACTATTACAACGGTAGCCTAGATCCTACTGCTTAAAATCGATTTTGTGAAACAATGAGGAACTATGGTATACGATACTCACTTGAAAAAAAAAATCCAGAAGTGAAAGGTGTTAATGTATCATCGTTTTCACGACGTCATTAAACTTCCTAATTACGCGAACGACGTGAAGTAAAATTAGCTTAACTTACTAAAAAAGATTGCTACTTGAAAAATATACATTGTATTATATTTAAGGAAAAAAAAAAATTGAAAATTGAGAAAAGGATTAGAGCGCGGCTCAATATCCAAATATTTGCAATCGCTTTTTTTTCTAAAATTTGAATTCTAATATAGTCTCTTTGTGCATATTAGAGACGCAGGATAAAAATAAATACAAAATATCGCATGTAATGCGTATGGTAATAAATCAAAGACGAAATAATATATACGATAGTAAAAATTAATAACAGTAAAATATTGAAATTAATGTTTTTAAGAAATGAAGAAAAATAACGATTACAGGACTTCAATGATTAAGGTATTTTAAACGTATCCCTGTCGTAAAATCTACTCAAATAATAATTCGTGCGATATCGCACTTACATTCAAGATATATATGCAGCGCGGCGCGCCAACAATGCGTAATAGTGACAAAGATTTCCGTATGTTCTCTCTCGTACGAGAAGAGGACGAGAAAGTCAGGTACGTGCGGTCGGTCTTTTTTTTTTCTTTTTCTTTTTTTCGCGATCGATCGATTCTGCGAAGGATCGCGGGACTAACGTAATCGTTTGGCGAGCGCCAACAATTATAGCGATTTATTTGCTACACGACTTCGGTCTTTTTTTCTTTTTTTCGCGATCGATCGATTCTGCGAAGGATCGCGGGACTAACGTAATCGTTTGGCGAGCGCCAACAATTATAGCAATTATAGCGATTCGTGGTCGGTGTGGGTGTAGGACTGCTGCTGCAGGATCTGCTGAACGCACGCTGCGGCTCGACGTTCAGGAAGGTGCGGTCCGTGGTGGGTGGTGCGGAAACGATTTCCGGTTCCGCGGGACTCGGGCATCTCCTCTGGCTGCAGTTGGACCCCGCGTTTCTCGACAGCGTCTGCAGAGGTATCCGATAGATTCTTATCGGTTTCCAATCACCCTGACTGTCTGCGAAAGAAAGATTTCTCGGTTGGCAAGAGAATGACCCCAAATTGCGTTCATTAAACATTTGGAATAATGATCGATCAAGGGACGGAGGAGGGGGAATTTCGACTTCTGACGGAGACAAAGGAATCGTTGAGTAAGGTCACGTACTTTGAAAAGTCGATCGAGAGGAGGATGAAGATTGTATGGTGGGCGGTGGGCTGCACGGCATCTCCTCCTTCTCGAGAGGTTTCGAATCCAATCGAATTCGCTCGCATTTTCCCGGAAAGAATTCCGGAGCCGTGGTCGCAAAGAATATATCCCGCTTCGAAGTGATCAAGTTGATATTCGGCATAGCAATAGTGTGAACCAGATTGCCATTTATTATCAGTCGAATCTCCATCGTGTCGTTGGTGAAGGCGATCACGTATGGAAAGGCACAGGCTGTCGTAAAGAACAACATCCATATCATATTGGTAAACATTATTTAAATAATGAAATATTATATGCGTGTGTGTGTGTCCAGATAATGACTGAATATTTTATACAAATGTGTGTGTGTGTATCGCATAACATTTGTCAAATTGTCGCACCTACGGCTATCGGCACCGAATTCCAATTGAAGTCGAACTCGGTCGGCGCAGCGTTCTCTTCCATCAGTTTTTGAAAGTGACATGTATCTGAAGAGAAAAAAAAAATCAAATATCGATAAGTCTACATATTACAAGATGCTGCCAAGATTAGTTTTTAAATCCAAACATTTCAAAACTTAATAAAAAAATACATGCTCTTGAATTATCTCTGAATGTCTTGAAATATAAAGATGATGCAAACTTGAAGCAAGTTTTGAATTATCACCGATTCTCAGAGATCGGAGTAAGAATTAAAAAGGAAACGGCGACCTACTGTTGTAACAAAGTATTAATTCCGGCTCCTCGTCTTCGCGAAGATCCAACGCCGCCACCAAATGCGGCTTAGGCGTCGCCTCTAGATGGACGATCCTCGAAACTCCGCACGCGGAGATCAACTCAAAGTGATGGCGGGCGCCGCAGCACAGCGTCCACTCGTTCGTCGGATCGGTGCTTTCTATCATGGTCACCAACGTGGGTGTCTCGCTCGCGGTGAATTCTTTCAGCGGCAAGAAACCATCGATGGTGTCGGTGTCAGCTGACGAGCACCAGATGGTCCAGGCCGCGTTGTGCTTCCACTGAAGGACCGTCAGTCGGCGGCCGACGACTACGCACTGTTTCGCAATCACACGTATTGTGTATTTTTCTCGTGTGAAAATAATTAATTAACATAGAAGACAGAAAGACGATATTTATAATTAAACGGTGGACACACAGAAGAGGAAAAAAATTTAACAAACCGCGTTGCCGACGTTTTGACAGATTTTTAATTAATTATAAGAATATTTTTCATCCTGATCGATGCGATGTGTGATATAAGTATTATTTTTATATCTTTAACAATATTTTATGAAATACGCAATATATCAACGATAATTGCAGAAGAATGAGAAGATTTTTTCTCTCTCTTGAACGCGTTCGCCCGACTCGTTCTCCAACTTCATTCATCAGCCTTGCCAAAGTTGACCGAAAAAGTCCAATGAGTGGAAAAAACTATGATATATTTCGGTTTTTACTGTCTCGGATTTTAATGGAATAAATTGGCAAAAACTATAAAAATAACTATATATAACTCGTAATACTGAAATATATTTATCTAATTTAATTAATAAATCATACTAATTATTATAGCTTAAAAAAAAATTAATAAAATAATAAAATCTTTTTTAATTGAGATTAATATGTGAAATACATTCTTAAAACAAAAATTTTGGAGATATAAATCCACTAAATTTTATATTAGTTTTTAGTTTAATGAGAAAAATATAATGTGATAGTAACAGAATTAATAATTATTACCATAGATTATTATAGATCTAATTCGCGTTTACTATTTAACATCTTGTAACAATTATTTGCTATGCCAATTCCTAATCTAATACGGATTTTATTTTGGATAAAGCTTAAATTAGAAAAAAAAAACACTCAATTGACGAGTATAGCTAAAAAAAATTTTTATTTTAACAGTTTTAATAGAAAATGCTATTTTTTGCCAGTTTTTTCCGGAAAATCCCGGCTTTTACTACTAGCATGGATTTTATCAAAAAAAAATGTAAAATTTTTCCAATCCTGAGCCGTTACTGTACTGAAGGGACGAACAAATACAAAATTCGGGACAATACTTTACCATGCGTAGGTGCGAGCCTCCGGCCCTGGTGATGCTGTACAAGTGACATCCTCGCGTACGCCGTAGTTTCCTCTCCTTTATATGAGCCCGGCTCCTGACGGCCGGAGCGCGAACGCGCGCCCGCGCCCGTGAACGCGTCACCGGCTGAAATCGGGCGGTAGCGCGGGTAAAATTGTCGCACTCGTCGGCGTCGTCCTCGTCGCAGTCATCGTCGTCGTCCTCGGCGTCCTCGTCGTCGACGTCGTTCTCCTCCTTCTCCCGCGTTTCCTCGCTGTCGCGATCGTTGAACAGCTCGGCGCATCTCGCGGACGCGTCGCTCTCGAACTCGCGTAGCCGGAAAACATACACGCTGTTTTCCTTGCCCTTATCGCTGGCGCGGAACAAGAGTATCCCGTGCTGCTCGACTACGTCCAGTTGCTTGATCTGCACCGACTCGTCGAAGATCAATCTGTGCGAGAGTCCGTCTGGAAATTGGAAAGCAATCGATGTTAAAATTTATACGCTCGAAAATGCGTTTTTTTTTTCTTCGATTATATTAACTGCAACTTTTAATTTGCAACACATTTTTATTTTTGCGTAATCTTAACGTTCGATGATCGAGTACTCTTTAATAGATTTCCGAGATAATTTGCGTTATGCCAATTATATACCTTCGATGAGAAACGTTCCGCTCTCCGAGGCGAGGATCAGTCTATTCTCCAGCCAGACATCACCGCAAACAACCTCGTGGGTTTCAGGGGGCCGACGGTGGCAAGAGACGTAGGCGCGAGACCGCGCATAATAGCTTCCAGCTTCAAGGCTTGCCCGACTCGCACCATCTCGACTGCACGTGTCTCCTCTCGACGTCGACCCGGCGCCTCGACGACGTCTGAGAGCGCTCGCCGATTTAGCATGCTCTATTGTACAGAATTGTGCCGAATCGATCTTTAAACTTCAAGATATATCAAGCTTTCTTGAGATTATTACTAAGCATCTTGCGTTCCTCCGGAAAAATATTTTATTGATTTTTATTTTGTGATTACGCTATAATATATTTTTATTAATAATATTGATATACTCTGTTTAAAATTAAGTATATTGATATTATTAAAAAAAAGTCGATATACATTAAATCAATTAGAAATAAATAGTTAATTACTCTCGATAAAATGTAACGTAATTTGATGATATCATCAAATTACGTTACACTTTATCGAGAGTATTATAAATCAAAGTTAATGGAACGTGGAAGAAATATAAGCGAGTAAATGACAGTTTTCACGAAGTAACTTACGTTGCTCTTGCTCTCCTGCGAGTGCTCCTGGTACATATCTCGCAATAGGGCGTCGAGGGTTCTCTCCCTTTTTCTGGAGAATGTCGGGGTGTCGAACGTAGCCTTCTCGCCGTTGATCATTTTAACGAGAAGAAATTCTCGAAGATTATACGGATCCTCGAATACCGGCGGGCAGGGTAGGCTCGGACCGAATAGGGGTACGTTCTCGTCGCAGTAAATAGCAACCCGCCACCCCTTGCCGTTCGCCTCGGTCGTCACCACGGCGAACACGTCTACGTAATGGGAAATGGATTGATAGTCAACAAGTGATCTTTTCTCATCTTACTTCATAAAATTCTATGTTAGGTTTTTTTTTCTATGTATGCACGTTCATTGTATCTTATCTCAGTTTGATTAATTCGCGATTAATGGTTAGCAAAAGACGATGAAAAATATACGGAAAGAATATTTTTAATGATTAAGTGGAAACTATTTTATTGATAACACAGATATACATAATCGAGAAATAAATCAAGTGAATATATTGTTTAAAGTTCAAACGTAAACAAAATCTGTAGGCGTGCAAAATGAAGAAAAAAGGATGAGAATCACTATGTTGTATGTATATTTCGGTGTCAATTGTACAGCCCGTGTGCTCTTTATGTAACGATAACAGGCAAGGTTCGGTTGATATATTGTAACGTGATCTTATCTGACCTTACATGTGATATTTTTCTTAACTCACGGGTAAATTGGCTTCTTATGCAGTTCGGATTGAATGTATCCACAGCTGACGGATCATCCGCGTAGATGATGTTGACGATATCGTTGCCGATGTGTCTCTTCCTCTCTAGCTGCTGCGGATTATCCTTTGAATACGGTAACATCGTGCTAATGTGATACATAACTTCGTGACCTGCATAAACCGTGTAGTAACTTTCCTTGCCGGTCATATCTCCTGAGAAACGATAAAACGTACGATTAAAATCATGAAAATGAGAGAAGAGATTCTTCAAATTTACTATGAATGTAGAATATCGTAAATACCATGGAAAGTGTCAAAGAAACTGTGATAGAGACTGATTAAAAGATCTATTTAATTGACATTTTATTTAGCAATATTTTAATATTATAATTCAATATTATATCATTTTACTGCGCGCATTATATTATATATTTATACATCTATAATATAAAAAAGATACATATTGATAAAAAAAGAACAATCTAAAACAGATTGTTGATCAAAGGAGTTGAAAAAGAGAAGAAAAAATATTCGAATTCTTTCAGTGTAACAATCTGCAGAGAGGAGAAAGAGAGAGAGAGAGAGAGAGAGAGAAGAAGAGGAGATAAATTGCAAACCTCTTCTGATTGCAGATCCCGAGTTTGCACTGTCAATATCCATATTACCAACGTACCTTTCACATCCAAGCCGCCCCTGTATTTGTCCCAGCCTTTGAGCCGTATTCGCTCACCCAGGATCTCCAGGAAGGTCTCGAAGCCCGGGCTACCTCTTTCTACGAGCAATGAGAAACGTTTCTCAGCGGGGGGAATCGATAACGCTATCTATTATCACTTAATTTCCCATCCCACTCGACTGTCTTTTGTTCCCGCTGACACTCCTGATGGTCTTACCGTTAGACAACATCTCATCGTCGGTGGTCTGACCTTCTCTCGCGTAAATTACGCCAAACTTGAAGTTCACCGAGCCTTCTTGTTCCTCGAGCAGCAATAGATCCTGCAACAGGCATCATTGAATTAGTTCGTGTCTCTGATGATGTCATTTGTCGAGCATGAAACTGGCATGAGACATCTGTAAATGTACCTTTTGAAGTTCGGGCGTGAAAACTTCTCGCGGCACCTTATCGAGTTTCTCCAGACCGAAAAAATTGCTGAAAAGGTCAGAGTTAGTAGACTGATGTTAGAAGACACGGTTCTATTCAATTTGTAGACAGAGATATAGTTACCTGAGGATCTGCCTGATAGTCATTGTCTTGTTCGCCGAATACGGCAACGATATTTTCTGCGCGCCCTACGCGAAACATTTCTCAATTTATCACGATTGATTTTGCATCCATATATACCGATTAATAATTTGACACTCTTAATAAAATTACGCGTGCTTATAATCGAGCTCGGTATCGGATATTATAATGAAAGTAGATTATAATTCAAAAGATCTATTTTTTTCATTTCTACATCGAGCACAAAGTAAATGTAAATGTTATAAAGAGAGATATATAGATATCAATTTATTTTAATGAGAAGAAGAGTTATAATACTTTTTTTATGAAAAAAGAGATTGAAGCTACGCTTAATGGGATGACATTTTCTGCAGTTTTCATGCTAGTGTAAAAAGGAAGAAAATTGAGAACATAAAAAATTCCATAAATTTATCTCAAGACAGTGAGAGAGAGAGAGAGAGAGAGAGAGAAAAATGTCAGAAACCTCTTTTTCTTACTAAATAATATATTATCTACTTACAGTTCGCCTCCATAAAATAACTCTGTAGTGCGGTACGCATTGATCACCGACTTCGCTTGTGACTACTGAGAGGAAGAGAGGATTTCTCTCTTGATCGGAAGCAATGTAATTTTGATGCACTGTGCACAGATAGAAGCGCAATTAGAATTCGCACTATTATTTAGCACTTTAAGCTATTTATAATTAGGTCGTGTAAATAATTTTTGCGGCAAAGTTTTTGTATACACTTAAAAACTACAAAAACTGGAGAAGGCAATTCCACTTCATTCATAAATTTTTACTAAAAATAAACGCAACGGCGATTAACTCGGTCAAGCGAATAAAGAGCATAACTTTATTTGCATAAGTGGACTTCTAATGGAATTTTCCATCGTGTTACCGCAATATTATATAATTAATCATGGAAAGGAAATATAATTTAAAAAACTGAGTTATAAAATTTATATGTGGGGATAGAAATAATCCAAATAAAATACGTTTATACGCATAATTAATGTAATTGGCATATCGATATTGTGTCGATACATTCGCAACTTACGTTTGCCCAGAAAGTATTTAAAGTACCAACGCGTTTGGTACTCCGGGTTTTCTAGTATCGGCGTACTCGGCGAACCAAACATCTGTCGAAGTAAAATTCGTTTCTCGTTACAGACATCATTTTAAGGAATAGAAGTGAGATAGAATAAAGGACGGAACGGGGTGAGAGCAAGTAATTACGCTCACTACGAAATGGGACGAATCTTAAGAGATGAAAGAAAGAGATCCGAACAAGTTGATCGTTTGATCATTAGGCTTCCTTACCTCTTCTTTTTCTCCAGGGGAATCCCCGTTCTCCACTCGAAATCTTCTGCCATTGTCGGCGCCGTCTTGCTCGATCTGCGGCAACTGAAAATACATTTTCAGACGTCACGATTAGCAAATACGCGAAATTCCGGTGCGAGTCAACATGCTCCAGTTTTGAGTTTGCAAATCGTAGTTCCCAGACCTCGAAACGCGCGCGATCGAAAGCAGAGACGGCCAACTTAATCGGATTTTTTAAAAAAGCTTGTTACATGCAAATTTCTTTTATAGGTAATCTTTGTTTCTCCGAGAAAAATTCGATATTCATTTTCACAAAATTGAACTTAACCGAATTCCATTATGAAGTATTTACTATAAACGTACCCTTAAAAAATTTAGAAATTTTCAATCTCTGATTAAAAATATTGGAATCGATGTTTTTAAAAGGAATAAAAAGAAAATTAAAATAAATATTATTTAAATTGAAATTTTAAATTAAATTCTCTGCAGAGAGAAAGAAAAACATTTTGCCAAACATTTTATTATTAATATAAAACAATATGATTTTTTTTTGCTCACAAATTAATTAAACATATATCATATTTTTGACCAAAAATGTATTTGACGTATCAATTTGCAAGTTTTATGATTCAGGGATTTTTTCAATTTTTTGATAGAAAAATCTATCGAACATATTGTAACGTCATACATTAACTGTGAGTGAAGCACGATGCAACTTTGGCGAACTGTGATAAGCAAATCAATAGATAAACAGCCAGAGATAGAGGGAGACAATATAATCGGCTTACCGGACGTGTGTCGCGGATTATTATAGGGCGCTCGTATGTTTTTATCATGGCGATTAGGATTACCGTGTCACAAGCACTATCTTAAGACCCTCATGTGGTAAGTAGAGCGAGACTCTTACCTAGATATGTGTCCGCTCTTTTTTATCCGTTTCCTTACCATTTCGACACTTCCGTAGCATCGTCTCGATAGGACTCCTCGCCTCGTTATCGCGTCCGTGGTGGATCTAAAAGACGAGTTTTCATGTTTTTAGATGCAAGACGAGTGTGCACACTATGAAGATATAATTCTATCTCGCGGACTTTTCGCAAAAGGTGTAAGACCAGTTCACACATTCGTTGGAGGCATATGGTTCGCAAACGCGTATCATTTTTTATTTATTTGATTTTCTATACGCTTTTAGTTTGTACTATAGGGACACTTCGCTTTGCGTAAATTTTTTATAGCTTTTTTTCGCGTACATATATATGTTGTTATAGAATCGTTTACGCTAAGAGAGGTAACACGTCACGGTGAACGGCATTGTTGACCAAGAACATGTACATTTTTTTACGGATCTCACAGTATACTTCCGTTGTAATAGCAACATGTTATTTGTTATTCGAAAGTAACACACTATCTTGTAGATAAATTCGGAAAGTCACGGAAACGTTGCTTGAAGAATTTATTTCGTTCTGCAATCAATTTTGCATTGACATTGTAAATTAATCTCTATACTCGCAAAATTATTACAACCTTGTCTTTAATTTTAATCAGATTCTTTGACTTTAATTTAAAATTTATTTTCCTTCAACTAAAAAATTGGAGCACAAATAAAAAATTGGAATCAAAAAGATTTGAAAATGTAGAGTTTTTCTTGAATTAATCTTCTAGGAGATAAAAATTTTCCTTGTTCGTTTAAAGTCAAAGGATTTTATTTCTTAAGAATTTTAATTTGTAATTTAATGACCACAAGATGTTTAATATTAAATATATTAAAAATTTACGACGCAAAAAATGATCTTGTTCGAAATTGATACTAAGAAAAATTCATTTTACGTTCGGCAAATAATCTATGACATAATCAAAATTGAGAGCGGGACGATTGTGGAATAGCCTGCCATTGCGCTTTCCGATATCCTTTTTTGCACGGAAGATTAAGTGATAAAATTCTGCTATCGGCAGCATAATTATCATTGACTCGCTAAATGTATTCCGATCGAATACGATCATCCCCCGGCGAACGGATCGCGTCTCCCCCGTAGTGTGAATGTAGCGTAATGTGACAGCACCCTCCGCTCGCCGACTCAACCCGTCTCTCGCGTTTCTCATTTTTCACGACATGAATATCTAGGTTAACGAGAAGCTACATCGAGGTCAAATTGGCCGGGCAACTGGGAGAGGCCGTTACATGGACAGAGACATAGGAAACAATTATTGTTCAAGATTCGGGATTCGCACGGGTCATGATCTTTTTCCTCAACAGCGCTTCTCGTTAAATCGTTGGTCGATTCAAGTCTGCAAAGTTTTATCGGGTTATTGCGCGATGAAAATAAAGAAAGATCAATCAACAGGTCAAGTACTAAACAAAGCAGTAAATTGTCGTATGTTCTTCCTAATAAAAATGATAGTAAATGGATGAGTAGATACGAGATATAAATATCCGTACAAACAAAAAGATGAGCGATAATAGTGGGTTACTTGCTCGTTCTTTTTGAAAAAAAAAGCGATTGATCGACAATTGAGGAATCAATAACTCGTTACTCGATTCGGCAGTTGACTTATTCGTAGTTAATTTCGTTAGATCAGAGGCCACGTACACATGACTGGCGCGCCGATGCAGCTGCCTGAGCTGCGAGGACGGCAGGATCGTCGTCACGCACACCGATCTGGATCTGCTTCTGCGATTCATCTCCTGGACGCACGAACCGGGTCGCAACAATTCCTCTTCGCTATCGCTGGTCGTAATCGGTACGGCGGCCTCGCCGCTCTCGCGTCTCGCTTTGCGAGACTTAATCTTATCCGTGGAACTCAAGGACGGTGAAACTGCGCTCGTCGCCGGATGCGTCGTCGGCGAGGTATTAGTAGCAGAGGCGGCAGTCCCTCGTAGTCGCGAAACGAGCTTCATGTCCAAGCATAGCATTTTCACTGACCTCTTTGATACGCGATGTACGTCTCTGCGTATTACGTACAATTTAACTGTATGACTACGCACAACGCAGTTTTGTCATCACGGGCAACGTGCGTCGCTGGAGACGGACTCGGTGCGTTTCTCTTCTGGTAGCATCACCATCATCATCACTATCATCGTCGTTACGATGTCGTTGAACTCGGCCGATGATGACAAACGTTGGCACCCGCATCACTCTGCGACTTGTGCAAACCGAACACGTTGCAAAATTGCCGCAACGGTGAGGTTGAAGGGAACTACGGGTGTCTACAGGTGAGATTGTGTTCGACGAATCTCGGATTCGTGCTGTTGTCTTTAGATCCCGTTACGCGCCAATGCGTTATATCTAAGAGCGTCTTATCCAAGGAATATCGATTATATAGACAAGATCACTTGCACCGTATGGTAATCGGAATTCTCTCTCTCTTGACCCGGGTCGAAGTTTGCGTCGAGCGATGGTTTGAATAACGGATCGTTGATGCAGAACGGGAGAAATAAAACGCGAGAAATAACGCGTTTTATTTGCCCATTTATATGCCCCGTTTCTGCGATCCTTGAAATATTATGCAATAACGTAACTAGTTATATTTGCACTTAATGCGTTTTACGATAAGTGACATGTGTTTCAACTTATAATGTCGCAAATGCGGTATCGTTAGAAATAATTATGTCATGGCAGATAATTATATGTCGTAATGCATTCCGCGATATCTAAAGCTTAGTAAACGTGACGAATGAAAAAGAGTGTCTTCTGAAGAGACTAAAGACAATGATTTCAGAAAACGCAGAAATGGAGAAAACTGCGTACTTTCCTATCTGTTTAATGAACTTATTTGTATGTTGAAGATCCTTTGTATCTCTCAAAAAGAGACGAGAGATACCGTCCGTATTCACAGGTCTCGTGTCCTACCTTCGGCAAACAGCGGCATCGATCTCCCTTTGTCAGTTTTGTGGCTCTATCGCCAAATGGGCAGTTTGCGGCTGACATTGGATGTTTGTTATCCGAATGATTCGAGATGTCGGTGATACCGAGGGGAAAACGTTATGCTAACTGATATCGTCGATTTTTCTTGCTCTCTTGATCATGGCTGAGAAACTCGGGCTGAAGGACAACGGATATTGTCGGACTGATACGGTGTAATTCGATAAACAAAACATGCGAAATATATATATATATATATATTGTGTGTGTGTGTGTCGATACACAACTATACATGTTGTATATTTATATATTTACGTATGTATATATATTTGCGCGCCGATACGCCAGTCTCATGAAATTATATTCTGTGAACTTCGCGGGGACAAATGTCAAATCGCAAAATATTCGCTCATGTGAAAAATCTCCAATATATCGATATGCTCTTGCATCGAATCGTAAATTTTTATCACGAGTGAACGAAAATGTTTTCGGTTATTTAATACGCATTGCTTGCGTTGAGAAATCGAAAAATTTTATTCGAGTCAATCAGATTGCGAGATTGCTCGTTTATGGAGAGTTTCATGCGGGTTTCCCACATAAATTCTGCGGCGGAAATATCGAGCTTTATTTTTATTTAAAATCACGATTTCTACGTAAAATATTACGAAAAACTCCGTCATATCGTATTTTAAATCTACGTGATATATTAGAATGAGATGCCCTTCGCTATATTACGATTGAGAGATCAGACCTTTCGTTCCGGAATTTGAAAAGATCAAGCCAAACGTTTCGTGGCTCAAAACAGGTCAAAACTTCTTTGAAAACAACTCCGCTATTTAAGTCTTGATACTCTTCACTAACATCTTCGCTAACTCTTTCTATGAGCTTAACTTTCCTCTCTCATCAAACTAAAAGGAGATACAAACTTTACTCTTTTTAAAAAAAACTTTTTATCTTAATTGTATCTTTTTTAGAATAATATTACGATGGACTTTCAATGACATTAAAAAACACGATATAAATTATTTAATTACATCTTAAGTGTATTATTCTTTTATTCTTCATCTTCCTTTTAAAAACCATGCTTTGAATTTTTCTAGCAAAGAGCTATTCGAGTTTTAAACTTACAGAGTATCAAAAAATAAATCTTAGTGAAAAGATTCAACCGTGCAAAATGAATTTGCGTGTTCCCTCAATAATTTATCCTTATCGACGTCGTCAATAAATATACATATCTCCTCCGCAGTTCTCATTGGGAGGTGTTACCGATTTCTTGACAGAACAACAAATAGTACACCGAAGCTATACATAAGCTTTGTATCGTTAGAAAAAATTCATGCAAATCCAATTGCGGAACTCAACCAGAATACGCTTCAAAAGAGGATCGCGTGAAGCGTATATCGTTGATCGAATCTCGTGTAACAATTGTGACATACATCCATCATTCGAAAATGAGCAGAGTTGTAGCCTACGTCACATCTTGAACGCAGTCGTTAATTTTTCCCTGTAGGATATCTATAGCAAAACACACTGAGAGAAGAGAGTACAACGGACTGTGTCTCTCCTCTTGGCTATTGGCGAGACGCGAAGGACACCGCTCGCGAAACTCGACGGCACTGATCGTACTCCCTCGCGTCTTGGGTCCGCAACCCCTACTGGCCGCCCTTTCGCCTCCCTTGCCCCGCCGACGCGAATTCGCGGCGAACTTTACGAACCGATCCGTAGCGCACCAGCAGCAGCAGCAGCCCCCGCGGGGCAGAGGCAAGTTGCTCGCAGTGACATGGCGACTCGACGACTGGCGCCGCGTCGACGAGTTCGTCGGTCCCCGCGTCCTCCTCCGTCCCTTCCTCCCCTGTCTCTTTCTGTTTGTCGTCTTCCACCACCTTCACCCTCCTCCTCCTCCTCATCCTCATCCTCCTCCGCCGTTACCGTCGCAGTCACCTCTCCCTCCTCCTCCTCCGCCTCTCTTCCCGTTCATTTATCTATTTGTTCTTCCACGTACGTACGCGTATGAGGGTCCTAACGCGGTATGTACCGTGACGTACACACATGTGTCACCGCTATAACGTATATATCGACGCTTCACCACGGTTTCGGCGACGGCGTCGGTGACCCGTATTCCCGCCGACACCGAGGCGCTCCTTCAATCTCCATCGCTGTCCCGGCGATTTTGTCCCTCATCCCCCTCTACCCCTCCACTCCATCTTCTTGGCAAATTTCGGGGGATTAAGACGTGACTAGCTGCATATCAGCTTGGCGAATTAACACGACTCGATGCTAATCAGATCTTCTCCACCATCTCTGACGACGTTCTCGCGAAATGCAAATAACCGGAGAATTAAAATTGAATTTTTATGTCGGATAAATTTACGCGGAGTTTTGTGTGCTATATAACGGTTGTTTGTGATAATTGTTGCTAAAGTGGAAGAAATACTTGTTCTTTGATGAATTCAAAAGCAATCTAGTCTTGTGCTTAATTCTGTGAAAATCTTATTCTCTCTAAGCACGGAGTCTGACGGACTTAATTTAAAGTAGTAAATTAAATGGTAGTTGTTGAATTCATCTCTTTCGGAGATTTAAATAAATAAGAAGATTTGTTCTTTAATTCAATTAAAATGAACATTACATTTTGGAAAGTTTTTTAAATTTTATATATATACAAACATTTTATATCAAATATTATAAAATTGTACGTATATATATAATATTTTATGTGTATACTTTATTATTATATATGAAAAATCTCATTTATGAAAGTAATGACCAAGAATTCTAGTCTTGAAACTTTTTCAATTAAAAACATTTTTTCTATAAATTTTATTTATGATTTACACAAATCATATATTATAATAAAAATTTGTGTAGAAATATTTCCTTGAAGAATTCGATCAAATTCATATTCTTATTGACTGATAACATTTTGTAACAGGTTTTTTTCCGTTCACATATAGTGCAACGTAGTATGTATATATGCATAAAAATAGTCTTTATATAATTAATAATCTTAA